CCAAATATTACACTAGTACTTGCTTTCCTCAGGTTGAATGCATTGTGCGCTTATGTTAGCTTAAATGGGTTACACGGATCAGGGATGACAGTGTATTCTTACCTGTAACATGACCTGCTATGGACTGAGTCTGAACTGTTTCATGCACTACACATATCCCTTTCTTTCATAACCAATCTAATAATGGGTATTTTGGGCCCATTTTTCTCAGAGGAAGAAACGGAGTTTTCAGGACTTGAAATGAATCTATATGTGTGTGTACACACACATATATAGTTTTCTGTGAACTATATATACCTTATACAGTGTAAGCTCCTAATACAGGAGTATCAGGATGTTTTTTGCTACAGCTAATAGAAACCCCCAACTCCAAATGACAAGAAAACATTGAATATAAGCATAAGTCCAGACGTTGGATGGCTCTGAGGCTGGTTAATTTCACATCTCAAAGGACACCCTTGGGAACCCAGGTTCGTTTTTCCTTTTTGCCATCCTTGGTAGTAGCTGCGTCCCACACAGATATGCCCTCACCCAGAGTGAGGGAGGTGGCCCAAGTGTGTCCTTGGGTGCCCAATTCCCTATTTCACACTTGATGTTCAACATTCTGCACCTCAGTCTCTGTGGTTTTTGGTACCAGTGACATCAGTAATACCCATTTTCTTCCAATTAACAAGGAAGTTGAGAAGAGTTCTTAGCTTATGTTTTAGACGGATGCTGCATCAGTCAGGGCGGTGAACCAGTGAGAACTTTCTCCACTGAAAGTGACTCCAGTCGCGTGTCCTCATTTCTGGCTTCTGCTCTCTGTATTGAGACAGAGCTTGGATTTGGAAATCTGGTTCCACCACTTATGAACTGTGTCTTTGTGCCTCAGTTTGTGCATCTGTTTAATGGGGATCTCATTAGAACCTGCCTCTAAAGGTTGCTGTAAAGATTAAGTAATTTAATACAGGGGAAATCCTTAGTACAGGGCCTGGCCTGTTGTCAATTATTAATGTTATTCTCTAAGCTTCCTGCTGCTGCAGGGGGACATGGAGGAAAACGCTCTGACATGACATCTGTACAGCTTGTGTTCCAAAGGAAAAGAGAGGGCTACTTCTCCACCTCTGATCGCAGGGGTGGACTCCATGGGCCTGGCTTGTGTGTGGTGCCCTCCTGCCAAGGCTAGGCCCTGTGGCAAGGCCCTGCAAGGAATGTGCTGAGCAGGTAATACTCCAGGTTACCCCCAACCACTTGGTTTCTTTTTGAATCCAGAGGAGTTGTCGTTTTGACTGGATATGTTGAACATATTACATACCATGTTAGCTGCTGTGGTTCTAACAAATATTTGGGTCATAATGTAATCCTTTATTCTCAACTCGAGAGTGCAATCACATGTCTAACGATTCTCTCTGTATTCGAAAGAATTTATATTGTTGAAAATGAAATTTTGGAGGGGCAAATAACACCTTCAGCTTTCATAGACCTTTAAAAAAAGTTGTATTTTTTGTTATATAAGCATTACATATAAAAAAATTATGTGCAGATCTGAAATAACACAGGCAGCAAAAGTATGTCTCACTAGGGTAATGTTAATAACGTGCATTGCTTAGAAAGCACATGAAGTACTTAAATCAAAATGACCACCTTAGACTGTCCTGCATCCTCTCCCACAATGCCATGGGCTCCTCCCAGCACTGAGCTTCTCCCACAATGCCGTGGGCTCCTTGCCGTGGGCTCCTCCCAGCACCTGAGCTTCTCCTACAATGCCGTGGGCTCCTCCCAGCACTGAGCTTCTCCCACAATGCCGTGGGCCTCTCCGCAGCACTGAGCTTCTCCCACAATGCCGGGTGGCTCCTCCCAGCACTGGAGCCCCACAATGCCGTGGGCTCCTCCCAGCACTGAGCTTCTCCCACAATGCCGTGGGCTCCTCCCCAGACCCAAGCTTCTCCCACGATGCTGTGGGTTCCTCCCCAGACCCGAGCTTCTCCCATGATGCTGTGGGCTCCTCCCCAGCCCCTGAGCTTCTCCCATGATGACGTGGGATCCTCCCAGTCCTGAGTGTCTCCCACAATGCCAGTGCTCCTCCCCAGCCCCTGAGCTTCTCCCACAATGCTGTGGGTTCCTCCCCAGCCCCTGAGCTTCTCCCACAACGCCGTGGGCTCCTCCCCAGACCTGAGCTTCTCCCACAACACCGTGGGCTCCTCCCCAGGCCCGAGCTTCTCCCACAATGCCGTGGGCTCCTCCCCAGCCCCTGAGCTTCTCCCACAATGCTGTGGGTTCCTCCCCAGACCTGAGCTCACCACAGGGCTTTGCCTGCATCACCAGATTCTAGGATCTTCAGGGGTAAAGAGGGAGCTTTTTTCACCTTTCTAGCCCCAGTCCCTCTGCAGTGACAGGAACACAGTAAGTGTTCTATAGCTGTTTTTTGAACAAAACTGACACTGTATATCAAAACGTATTTTTCTTTCTTATTTATTTATTCTCAATTTGCAAATAAAGATTGTATATATTTATCATGTACAACACATTTTAAAGTGTGTATACATTGTGGAATGACTAAATCAGAGTAACATGCATTACCTCGTATACTTAGCTCTCTTTTTGCAGTGAGAACAATTAAAATATACTCTCTTAGCAATTTTCAAGAATGCAGTACATTGTTATTAAAAGGGGTCGCCATGTTGTACAATAGATCTCTTGAACTTATTCCACCTATCTCACCAAAATTTTGTATCCTTTAACAAACATCTTCCCAGCATCCCTCCCCCATCCAGTCCTTGGTGCTCCTCTGAGTTTGACTTTTTAAGATTCCACATATGAGTAAGATCTTGAGGTATTTGTCTTTTGTGCCTGGTTTATTTCAGTTAACATAATGTCCTCCAGGTTTACCCATATAGTCGGAAAATGACGGGATTCCCTTTTCTTTTCTTCTTTTCTTTTTTTTTTTCTGAGACGGAGTCTCGCTCTGTCACCCAGGCAGGAGTGCAGTGGCCGGATCTCAGCTCACTGCAAGCTCCGCCTCCCGGGTTTACACCATTCTCCTGCCTCAGCCTCCCGAGTAGCTGGGACTACAGGAACCGCTACCTCGCCCGGCTAGTTTTTCATATTTTTAGTAGAGACCGGGTTTCACCGTGTTAGCCAGGATGGTCTTGATCTCCCGACCTCGTGATCCACCCGCCTCTGCCTCCCAAAGTGCTGGGATTACAGGCGGGGTTCCCTTATCTTTTTAAGGCTGAATACCACATTTTCTTTATTCATTCATTTGTTGATGGACACTTAGGTTGATTCCTTATCTTAGTTATTGTGAATAGCGCTTCAATGAACATAGGAGTAGAGATATCTCTCGGACATACTTAGACACACTGATATCATTTCCCATATCCACAAGTGAGATTGCTGGATCACATGGTCGTTCTATTTTTAATTTTTTGAGGAGCCACCAGACTGTTTTCCATAACGGATGCACTAATTTACGTTTCCACCAACAATGTGCAAGGATTCCCTTTTCTTCACATCCTGGCCAACACTTACTATCTTTCATCTTGATAAAAGCTCTCCTGACACATGGGAGGTGACATCTCATTGTGGTCAAACCACATCTGCTCAGGAGGGATGCAGTATAAATCACTGTTCTGGTGCCTAAAACTTGCCATGTGTGAGCAAGTATTTAACAAGTACTTTAAAAAATGCTGATTGCCTTGTTTCCTAAATATCAAAGTCAGAGACCTCCAACAAACATTTTAATTTTAATTTTTTATCAACATATGAACATAGTTTAATACAATTTTAAAAGTGAACGTATTTTACAACAACACAAAACCAAAGTAGTCTTTGTCCACCCACCCCACTCGCCCTCATTCCCACTCCTCTGGCAAACATTTTAACTCTTTTAGTTCTTTCTTCTGATGTTTATGTCCATACTGTGAAGCAACAAGTTTACATTGCTCTTTCCTAATTTTTTCAGTTTTAGATCTCAATTAACTTCTCACCATTAAATATAAATTTTGGCTCCTTTTATTTAGACTTCCTCTTCACACTCTCCCAATATAGTTTTCTCTACAGTTTAATTTTTGGTTAAATCAAAGTTCTGTTTTTACAATATCATGATTATATAAACAACTTAGTGCAATAGTGTACTATTTTTTTTTTTCTCTCATGTCACTGTTTTGTTTCCCTGGGAGTTTCTAGTTGCCTTATTTTCATTTCCTATTATGTAATATACCTGTCATTTACTCATCCTCAAATTCTTAGCCTGACTATACATTTCTCAAAACGTTCCAATACATCAGGTAATCTATGTGACTTCTGTTTTTCTTGGTGATTATTTTCCTAGAGATTTCTGTTTCAATCTATCAGATATTCTACTCAGTTCTCCCTTTACCATAGATTTCTTTTCCTTATCTTTTCCAGAACTTTTCTTTTCCAGTATGGACTGGTGTTTCCTTAGGCCAGCTATAGAGCTGTTATCAACCTAGGAATCTTCTCCATCACCCCGGGAGTTCTCGTTTTTGATGGATATCCTGTTCCTGTGTCCTACGTCCTCCTCATTCATGGTATGTTTTCTCACTTGATGACACACAACCTTCACCAGCTTCCTGAAAATAAAATCAATAAAAAGTAGTAGTGTTTTAATTAATATTTTGAGACTGGCATGTCTGAAAATGTTTTTATCTTACTTTCACACTTTTATTGAAAGTAAAATGTTTTTACATTGTGGGTTGGGGGCTAAAAATGCTAGGTTGGAAAGCATTGATATGGTTTGGCTGTGTCCCCACCCAAATGTCATCTTGAATTATAGCTCCCATAATCCCCACGTGTTGTGGGAGGTGATTGAATCATGACGGCAGGATTTCCTGTGCTGTTTTTGTGATAGTGAATAAGTCTCATGAGATCTGATGGTTTTATAAAGGGAAGTTGCCCTGCACACACTCGCTTGCCTGCCACCATGTAAGATACGCCTTTGCTCCTCCTTTGCCCTCCACCATGGTTGTAAGGCCTCCCCAACCATGTGGAACTGTTAAGTCCATTAAATGTCTTTTCTTTAATAAATTACCCAGTCTTGGGTATGTCTTTATTAACAGTGTAAGAATGGACTAATACACTGCTCCTTTATGTGGCTCTGGTTTTCTCTCCAGAAGGTTTAGAGTTTTCTCACTTTTCCCAGTATTTTGAAATTCCAAGGTGATCTGTTGTCATAAATACTACAGTAGTTGGTGGGACTCTTGTAATAGACTCATCTGCCCAATGCACAACAAGTCAGTATGCTGAGACACCAGGGAGCAGCAGAGAACAAATTAAATAATTATAGGGCAGCCTAATGAGATGGGAGGAAACTGCACATCCACCTCCCTGAGGAGTTTGGGGCTAGGGATGTTAAGGGGTTTGGAGTGGGCTGAGGTGTGGGGATCATTGATTGATTGATGAATTCAGGGTAAAGTCATGGGAAGGGGAGATGAAGAAACTTATTCTCATGCTGATGTAGTTCTTCTGTAAAGGTTTTCGCACTGGTTGATGTCAGCTGTTCTGCTAGAACTCAGGATCTGAAAAACATTGTAATCAATTCTTAAGCAAAAGCTCTATGATTCTAGCATCAGAGATCCTCCTTATCTTCCAACTTTTATGAGGAAGTTTTAAAATTCCATGTTACCATTTTTATGTGTTCCTCTTAATATGGCATCTGGATCTTGTTTTATGGATGCAACATCTCCCCTTTTCACTAAAAAATGAATTACAAATTTTATAAAGGTATCTTGTTCTCTATATTACCTCTCATTCCTTTATTATGTTTTTTCTTTCTTTCATAAAGACTTTCTTCAGTTATCTGCTAATCCTGAGTTCATTCATATTTAAAGGGAAAATGATTAGACTGAAAAAATGATTGGAGGCCAGGTGTGGTGGCTCATGCCTATAATCCCAGCACTTTGGGAGGCCAAGGTGGGAGGATTGCTGGAGCCCAGGAGTTCGAGACAAGCCTGAGTAACAAAGCAAGACCCTGTCTCTACAAAAAAATTTAAAAATTAGCTGGGCATGATGGCACATGCCTGTAGACCCAGCTACTTGGGAGGCTGAGGTGGGAGAATGACTTGAGCCTGGGAAGTCAAAGTGGCGGCGAGCCATGGTAACCCCACTGCACTCCAGCCTGGGTGACACCACAAGACCCTGTCTCAAAAATTTAAAAATAAACAAATAAATAAGGTTATTGGAAACTCTGCATGCAAGTGTTTTTCTTTTGGTAGGACTTCCCAGAAGGAAACTGGCTATTTTGTTGAGAAATTCTTAAACATTATTATCTGCAAATCCTATCTCTGGGATTGATGAGTTTCCCCAGAGAAGAATTCTCTAATTTCCTGAGCCTGGCCTAGTTCACAGCCAAGTGAGGAAAGGGGATGCCACAAGGCTTGATTTTTATTACACTCCACTGTTTTCACCTAGACCTGGGTCCTGAGCCTGGACTTCCTTTCCTTTGTCCTCTCTAGAGGGTGACAACGACTCCCCCCATTCACTTGTCTTCTTCTGGATGAGGGAGGGGTGGTCCCAGTCCTGAGTGAGGTAGGCAAGGGAATCTCTAACTACTTCTTTTACAGATTTTCAATTAATCCTCTCGTTTTTAGCCCACTGGGATCGTCCCCACGAGCAATGCCCTATGCTTCCACTTCGAGACTCCCTGGGTTCTGTGTTGTGAATCCGCCCAGCAGCTCCTGCCCCACCCTGTGCAGTGCTAGCTTTCTGCATCCTGTGGTCTGCTCAGTTACTCACTGCTAGATCTGACTTCCTCTTGCAGTCATTCAGTTGACCTCCCTCTGCTGTGACTCCTTTCATGTTCTCTTTGCTTTGGTGAACCAATGTCTTTTTATCTCTTTCCTGTCACTTCCATGGAGCGTTGGGAGGGAATAGAGACAAATGGCTGTGTGCAATTCATCATGCTTACATAAATCTCCATAAAGCCACAGCTCCTGACGTCATTAACCGGCCCACCTGTGTGTTTCTTATCCACCCTCCCCCCCGCACTGGGGACAATCCCATTGTCTCCTAAATGCTTACCACATTTCCAGTGAAATGACCTTGCCTTTCCTTTGGATTTGAGGAGGGGCAGAGTGTTAGGATCTGCATAACAAGATGCCCCGCTTTCAATGTAGAATCAAGAATGGGAAATAAAGCAACCCCTGCTAGTTTCCAAAGTATTAGACGCCGCTCCCGGGTCTCAGTAACTCTAAATATGTCAGACTTTTCTCAAGGAGTAAAACAGCCACCCACGCCTTTGTGAAAGCTCCCAAGTTTGAAATTGTGCCGAATGAGGAAAAACTCCCACACCAGGCAGTTCCAGGCGCCCCTCTGAAAGAGGAGCCATTGCTCTTAGTTATCCCTTTGTCTCAAAACAAACAAACAAACAAACAAACCTCAAAAACCAAAAACCAAACAAACAAAAACAACGACAACAACAACAAAACAACCCTCTGTGGTCACAGTGGAGAAAAGGTAGGACTAGGGGGCAGTGGGGCTTGAGAGCCCCGCCCTCAAATGTTTATATAAAAGGAAGAGCTGCCTGGCACGGTGGCGACTGAGCTGTGTCCCTTCCAGGCTGAGTTCTGTCTTCAGCTGGACAATTTGAGCCAGCTGCGCCTGTTTCTCCCCCAGGGCTGAGCAGGCTTTTATTCCCAGGCGGTTTCCTGGGATGGCCATTAGTGAAGACAGGGATCAAGGACTCACAGACAATGCCCTGCAAAGACAGCCACTCCCTTGGCAATTGGGGCAGAGTTTGCATCTTGGAGCTGGAACCTTGGCGGCCCCTGAGCACAGTGTTCTGGGGAAGGCTGCGCTGAAGGGCAGCCTGGAGGCCTGTGGGACATTGGGAACGGTACCAGCTGGGGCCTGGGCTTGCCCCTGGGTACAGAATGTTTTATTCAGTGGGCAAAGCAGTGCCAGGGTGGATGAATAAAGCCTTCAGATTTTGCATGGGGGTTTGTTTAACTCTCCCCCTTCTCATCCTCTGAACACAGCCAGAGGCATTTGGAACATGGCCCATACGATCATATCATTGGTGACAATGGAATCCAGGCCACCCAACATCAATGAGTCTCTAACAAGGCACAACTGGCTGCTGGGACTTGTCTCCAGCATTGCAACGTTGCCAGCTATTCTTTGTCTAAGCGCACTCATGTTAATGTGTAAGCCATTTCCTTCCCAGTGAGAAGGTTCTTTGTGAGATTGCTGTGTATGCTCACACTTGGAGACTGAAAGTTGGACTCGTAGGTACTGAGCGTCTTGTTGTGGAGACCAGATGCAATGCCTGGGCCTCCTGCTCCAGCTCCCGTACTGCCCTGGGTCAAAGCCTGGAGGCAGAGGACAGGACAGCAGGGTGAGCTCCAGGATGTGGAGGCAGGAAGATGAGGTGTGCTGGGGAGAAGGTATGTGGGTGTGGAGGGTAGAAAAGTGTCCCTGAAAAGATAGCTCCAAGTCCTTACCCCGGTACTTGCAAATGTGACCTTATTTTTGGAAATGGGATTTTTGCAGATATGATCTAGTTACAGGTCTCATGATGAGATCATCCTGGGTTTTGGGTGGGCCCTGAGTCCAATGACTAGTAGGTATTTTTGCAAGAGAAAGGAGAAGACTTGAAGCAGAGGGAAGAAAGCCGTGTGAACTTGGAGGCAGAGATGGGAGTGATGCTGTCACAGCCAAGAAATGCCAGGAAGCACCACAGGTGGGAAGAGGCAAGCGAGGGATTCCCCCCAGAACCTTCAGAGATCAGAGAACACATTGATTTTGGACTTTTGGTCTTCAAAACTGTGAGACAGCAAGTTTCTCTTGTTTGTTTGTTTTTTGTTGTTGTTGTTGGTTTTTTGTTTGTTTGGTTTTTTAGACGGAGTTTTGCTCTGTCGCCCAGGCTGGAGTGAGCGGCGCGATCTCGGCTCACTGCAAGCTCCACCTCCCGGGTTCACACCATTCTCCTGCTTCAGCCTCCCGAGTAGCTGGGACTACAGGTGCCCGCCACCACGCCCAGCTAATTTTATTATTATTATTTTTTGTATTTTTGGTAGAGACAGGGTTTCACCAGGTTAGTTCTCTTAAGCTGCCACAGATGTGGTACTTTTGTTATGGTAGCCCTAAGGAGCTAATTCATAGGAGAGCTAGGGGAAGGGAAGAGACAAGAAGATAGAAAGATAAGGAGGTGGGGGCAGGGACAGCCATGCAGACTGAGGCAGCAGGGGCGGAACAGCTCCCCTCCCTGTCATAGTCATTTCATAACAAAATATCCTGGACTGGTGACTTACACAACGGAAATTCATTTTCTCAGAGTTCTGGAGGCCGGAAGTGAAAGATGAGGGCGTCAGCATGGTCAGTTTCTGGTGAGGGCTCTCTCTCTGGCTGGTAGACGGCTGCCTTCTGGCTGTGTCCTTGTAGGAGAAAAGATGGCAAGGGTGAGCTTTCTAGCTTCTCTTCCACCACGAGCTTCAAATCTAAACCCGATTATCTCCCAAAGGCCCCTTCTCCAAACACCATCACTTTGGGGGTTAGGGTGTCCACATATGAGTTTAGGGAGTATGCAATTCGGTTGATAGCATGCCTTCAGTGCATGGGTGTCCCAGCATAGGTCTGGCAGTTAGAGGCCAGAACTACACGGAATCTTGCTGTGCAAAATAGGCAAAAACATTGATTGAAGGATAATTTAACCTGGAACAGAGAAGTTATATTGAGAATCAAAGAATGATACCTTTGCCTTGGGTTTAACGAGGCTGAAAATAAAGACCAAACCAGCAGCAGTCCGGATGAAGGTGAAGGCCGGTGGGGCATCATTCACCAGGCTTGGGAAGTGGGGGAACAGGGCTTATCTTTTTGGGCCTCATCACTGCCCTCCCTGTCATCTCCTGTGAGAAATAATTCCCTGACTGGTGTCCCTCCTGTTTTGGGATGAATTGTCCTCCAGCTGCTCTTGATTCCTATGTTAAAGTCTTGGTGTGGTGGCTCACATGTGTCATCCCAGCACTTTGAGAGGTGGGAGGATTACTTGAGGCCAGGAGTTCAAGACCAGCCTGGGCAACACAGTGAGACCCCATGTCCACAACAAAAGAAATTAGCCGGGCACGGTGGTGGATGCCTGTAGTCCCAGCTACCCCAGGAGGCTGAGGCAGGAGGATTGCTTGAGCCCAGGAGTTGGAGGCTACAGTGAGCTGTGGTTGTGCCACCGCACTCCAGCCTGGGTGACAGAGTGAGATTCTGTCTCAAAAAAAAACTGAAACAAATCCTAACCCCTTAGTACTTCAGAATAAGACTGTATTTGGAGATAAGGCCTTTAAAGAGGCAATTATGTTAATGAGGTCATTAGGGTGGGTCCTGATCCAATATGGTGGATGTCCTTGTAAGAAAAGGGAACTAGGATGCAGACATGTGCAGAGGAAAGACACAGGGAGAAGACGGCCCTCTGCCAGTCAAGGAGAGAGGCCTCAGAAAAAATCAATCCTGCCAACACCTTGATCTCGGCAAAGCGCCAGGCATGTGAGAAAATAAATTCTGTGGCAGCCACCCAGGCTGTGGTAGTTTCTTATGGCAACGATCGCCCACTAAGACACCTTCTCCAAGACCCTCCTCTACAGACAGACACCTGACGCCCAGACCACTCCTCAGCCTGCCTCACCTGTGGGCATGTCAGATGCCGGGGAGGCTGGCCGGGAGGAGCATGGGCTTTGGAGCCACCTGCTACACCCTGGAATCTGTTCATGGCCTTTTAACTGTGGGATGTTGAGCAAGTTACTCCAGCTCTTTAGTCTTGGAAATCCATAAAGCTGGAGGCAACGAACTCTCCCCTGAGCTGTGCAAATTAAATGAACTAACATGTTAAAAGACAGATTTATTTATTTCTTTTAGACAGGGCCTCGCTCTGTCACCCAGGCTGGAGTGACTGCAGTGTGGGATCACAGCTCACTGCAGCCTTGACCTCCCGGGCTCAACTGATCTCGGCCTCTGAAGTAGCTGGGACTACAGGTGTGTGCCACCATGCCCAGCTAATGTTTTCGTGTTTTGCATGTTTCCCTGGGCTTAAGAGATCCTCCTGCCTCAGCCTCCTGAAGTGCTGGGATTATAGGCATGAGTCATCTCACTCACCCATGTAAAACGATTGAATATGCCTGAGGCCCAACGACTCTAATATCTTCTCCAGTTTTACCTACTCTAGGGGACATTTGCTGTGATTTGCAGCCACACTGGGCAGCCTGTCTCTTTGGAGGAAACGCGGAGATCTGCGGGGGTTCAGGCCCTGTTTCCCACGGTGTGCAGATGAATCTTCTAACCACATGTCTTCTGGAAGTAGGGACAGGGAGTGGAACCAGTTCTGCCAGGTTCTCCCACTCAGACGGTGGGCTCCTGAAGAGGTGACATAGAGAACTCGTGGAGGTGACAGTGGAGACAGGCTCCCAGCGGTGGAGCAAGGACCAATGATGGCGTGAGTGTCCACTGAGAGTGCCATTGGTGGCGTCCCAGGCAGCAGGTCCTGTAGGATGACCTCACTGTCATCTATGCTTGTTTCCCTGCTTGGAGTCAATCTCCTTGTCCTCTGCCTTGTCCTGTTGGGGCCTGTTCTTGGCTGGCAATCATATTGGAAAGTTATCTAACAAATTATTTCACACTAAAGTGAGAAAGACTTAGATAAGGTAGTCATTTTCCAAAAGGCACTTGAATTTTAAGAAGGGAAAGGGAACAGGTAAGGTTAAGCATTTCATTTAACTGGCTGTGGAAAACTTAATCCTTTTATAAAATAATTTTTAATTTTATAATTTTTAATTTTTCTTTGCAGAAACAAGGTCTCTCTGTGTTGCCCAGGCTTGTCAACTCCTGGCCTCAAGTGATCCTCCTGCCTTTGCCTCCCAAAATGCTGGGATTACAGGTGTAAGCCACCACTGCCTGGCTGGGAAAGTTCATTTTTAAGACTAACTATCTATGTACCAAGGACTTGTCATGCCCCCTGGGATGTTGGTGTTCAAGGCATTGTCTAGTCTGGCATAGCTGAGGCACATTCATTCGAGTGGCCACCTCCCATGTTGCCTACTCGGCTGGCAAGGCGGAAAGCTTACCTGTCTTTTGAGTCTGTGACTTCTTTAGACTTCACTGGTTTAGCCAGAAGGCTCTGAATTTCTTACTTAAATTCCCACTCAGGTGTCTGACTGCCCAACATTGGCAGGTAAAGGTGACATTTTGGCCAGATGAGGAAGGGGGTGCTGGGAGGCAACAAAGGGGTATTTTCCCCAATATCTTACCCCTTTGTTCAGTTTTTATAACATGTGGCATGACTAAGAAAAGAACTTTTAGGCTGGTCCAGTGGCGCAGGGTGGAGAACCGTACAAGTTGGAGATCCCAGAGAGAGCCTGTGCCCACACGCAAAGTCCTGGTCAATTATTTCCGCCAGCCCAGAGTGACTGCCTGCTTCTCCCCGCGTTGTCTTCACGGGGACCTTAATCAACTCTCGATGGCCTTGAATCTAGAGAAGGGGAAGGAATTCAGGGCAGAAGGTGGGCGAAAAGGGCAGGAGTACGAGGTGGCCGGGAAAGGGGCGTCCTCCATTCATTTGTAACTTCCAAGTCTGACCTAATCAGGTCTAGCAGGAAGGGCAGATTGTCACGTGCAGCGAAGAGACAGGACTGAAGTCCCGTAAATGGCAAAATCCCATCCTCAGGCTTTTTATTTATGACATTGTCGTGATATCTACTTTGTGAAATAGGGGGCCTTGCCTGCCTGCTCAAGACGTGGTCTGGGAGAAGAGGTGGACACCTTCTCTGCGTTGAGAAGTCAGTGTGCTCTGAGTTTCTGCTATGGTGCTTACCCAGAGCCTGGGGAGAGGGGCTGCCGCCAAAGAAACAAATACGTGGGTGTCTTTCCTGGTTCCCAAAGGGCTGAACTCAGAGTCGCCCGACTGTGCTGCTTATATCCCTCCAGGGCTTTGAAATGCATGCTTAGCTCTTGTGGCTAAGCAATGGGCACTGCTGAAACGGACGCTAAGCTCTTGTGGGGAAGCTCTTGTGCCTACCCACGTCAGAAGGCAATTTTGGGAAGCTTTCGGAGGTGCTTTTCAAATGCAAGCTTAAGTTACCTTTAGGAACACTTTCCAATCCACTTTCCTGCTGGCCAGGCTCGTGGCTCCACGCCGTTGCCTGCTCCTGCCTCTCTGTAGCTCCCACTGTCCAGCAGGCACAGACTCGACGGGTGTCTCTGCACAGGATCTCTCTCACTCTCTGCTTCCACAGGCAACTCCGTTCGTGCTGCTTCTGCTTCCTGCTCCGGTTAGAGCCACAGGCTCCTCCACGTTCTTCTGTCTGCTTCCAGTTTCTTCATCTCCCTTTAATCAGTCTTGTCCACCATTGCCAGATAATTAAAAAACAAAACAAAAACTAAGCTTCCATGTTATCTACAAAACAGTCAAGGTCTTTCTTCCATGTTATTTATAAAATATTCCAGGTTGTTCTTAGCCTTTTAGGAATCAGAGGAGAATTTCAACCCATTATGGGTTTAGGCCTCCAAGACTCTAACAGAAGAGTGGCGTGGTGGAAGAATAATGGGAAGTGGAAATCTTACCGCTGGCAGGGTGTCCTGCTTCTAGATGCATGCCCAAGGAAACACAAATGATATATATATATATATTTTAGATGGAGTCCCTCTCTGTCACTTAAGCTGGAGTGCAGTGGCCAGATCTCAGCTGACCGCAAGCTCTGCCTCCTGGGTTCACACCATTCTCCTGCCTCAGCCTCCTGAGTAGCTGGGACTACAGGTGTCCACCACCTCACCAGGCTAAATTTTTGTATTTTTAGTAGAGATGGGGTTTCACCGTGTTAGCCAGGATGGTCTTGATCTCCTGACCTCGTGATCCTCCTGCCTCGGCCTCCCATAGTGCTGGGATTACAGGCATGAGCCACCACGCCCGGCCACCACAAATGATAATTTTTACAAATCAAAGCCATGCAAGTCCCACAGAGACATATTAGAACATGTTTTCTTGGATTTGTAAGCCACGGGATCACAATTCTGTGGCTAAATGGCATCTGAGGGAGAGTCCGGTAGGTTCCTAACTAAGGGGCGCTCTATGTTGCCACAGAATAGGTGGAAAAGGAAGGGGCAAGGAAAGCCAGGGTGGTGAGCCTGAGAAGGAAATTGGCTGAGAAGACTCTGCGCCTTCCAGCCGTGCTCAAATGCCAGTGATAAATACACACAGACAACATACAGTCAAGTACACACATACAGAGTCTCACACACCTTACACACCACTCATGCTCATGGATGTCTAGAGCACTCATTTCACTGTCAGGTTGCCTTTTCTTTGGACGTCATTTTTCCTTGTGTGGATGTTGCCCATTCCCCTAAGCAGGACGCCAGAGGCTGGCAGTGGCTCATGCCTGTAATCCTAGCACTTTGGGAAGCTGAGGCGGGAAGATCGCTTGAGCCTGGGAAGTTGAAGATGCAGTCAGCTGTGATTGCATCACTGTACTCTTGCCTGGGCAATGGAGTGAAGCCCTGTCTCCAAAAACAACAAACACACAAAAAACCCAAAAAACAAAATAACAAAAAAGAAGTACAGCAGATATGGAGCAGAAGTGCGAATGTTCTTCTAAATAGTCACTCTGGGGGCATCCTCCCCTCTCTTCTCCTGTTTTGTTTTTCTTATACTTTTTCTTGCGGTCCAACATCCTTAGCAGTGCAAAATGAGTCAGAGGTTCCTCAAACCTTTGAGTGCTCAGCATCGTATAATCATCACTTTCAAGTAGCATTCGGAGATGTCTTTAAGAGGCAACAGCTATTGTTAGTTGTTTAAGAAACTCCATCACTGCCTTCAATCGGAAACTTTCTCATCGCCATTATGGGCGTCAGTGCAGGCACTCTTACATTTCACTGGGTCTTGGGGTTAGTCATATTGTAGAGAGACACAGAGATGTGAGGAATAAATTGAAAAAAGGTCTGTAGCAACAGATTTTACACCATAAAAGAGTAAATTATTAGGTGTTAGGAAAAATATAAAGGTTGCAAACAATGTGTTTTATATACTGTTGCCAAGAATTAAAATATGCCAAATATGGGGGGAAAAGGTGTCGGTTAATCAGACTTCTGGCTGGCCCACACCCTGCAGCCCTTAGCACTGCCGGGCTGTTTTATAGGGCAGTAACCCAGTCACCAAAGCAAAGAGAATTCGAATAGCGGCCTTGGAAGATAATGCCAACTTGGGGACTAATTACTGCCTTGTTAAACAGTGAGATGGGGTTATTGTACATTTTTGGGTATGGCAGTTAAAATATATTTTTAAAAATAAGTTTTTAGAAACCAAGAATTCCCCAAATTCAAGAAGTAACTGATAAAGTAGTTGCGATCTCCCCATAGAACCAGATTGTGCAACAAAAAAGGAAAAGGAACGATGTTAAATGGGAAACAGAATCGGGGTGACCCTTTCCGATGGCTTCCTGGAAACTCCTTTCAAGCCAGCCACCCACCAGACGATGCAACCAAATGGTCCCCGTATTCGTTTTCTAGGGCTGCCATAACAAAGTGTCGCAAGCTGGGTGGCTTACAGCAATACAAATCTATCATTTTACACTTCTGGAGGCCACAAGTGTGAAATCAAGATGTCAGCAGTGCCATACTGTCTCTGGAGTCTCTCAGGGAGAACTCTTCTTTGTCTTTCCCAGTTTCTGGCGGTTTCCAGCAATCTGTGGCTTCCTTGGCTTGTTGCCGCATCATTCCAGTCTCAGTCACCACGTGGACTCCTCACTATGTGTCTGCCTGTGTTTACATTTTCTTCTTCTCATAAGGGCAGCACTGATTAGATTAGGCATGCCAAGATATCTTCTTCCCTTGATGACATCTGCAGACTCTGTTTCCAAATAAGGCCTCGTTCATGGGTACTGGGGTTAGGACTTCAACACCTCATTTCTAGTCTCCTATATCACCATGAATAAAGCTATGCCAGAAAGCTATGTCCTTGTTGCTTATAAAAAATGGTATTGATAATAGCTACCTACTCAAAACTACTCAGAGTAAGATCAGCTTCCAGCATGACAGTATGAGGAGCCCCCGACCCACCCCTCCAGGGAAACTGGTAAAAACAGCCATTTAAGGCTTCTGGAAATAGTCCCAAGGAAAAACAGCAAAGGAAGAAACCCGTATTCAAGAAAATGTACTGATTTGGTAGGAGAGGTGAATCTGTGGCATTCGAACCAAGACCACTTCTTTCCTCCCCACTCCCAGCTCAGCTTGGTGGCGATTCTATGGCCAAAACACAGGTCTCCTCTCCTCCCAGCACAGACGGCCTCTTTCCAGGGAGGAGTAGGGTGGCAGTCTTCTTCATCCTGCCCCCAGCTCCCTGTTGCTGAGGCTGTCTCAGATGGACGCAGTTGAGAGGTGGCGGATGCCACCCCTACCTCCTACTCATGAAGGGAGGCTGTACCTTGGGTGTGACGTGCTGAGAAGACTGTGGCCCTGGTCACTTTTGCCCTGGCTCCTGAGGTGGTGTTTCTATGCCAGAAGGCTCAAGTTAAGAAGACCACTGGCCACCCCAACTCCTCCACCAAGCACCCAGCCCCTGGACTGGGGCAGTGGGAGGGGCGGGAGGGGGTGTCACTCAGAGAAAAGCTCACCATTGTTTCCACTCCCAGCCCCGGAGCTCTGGTTCAGATTTTTTGTTGCGAGGTAGGGGAGAAGCAGCAGTTCAGAAAAAAAGATAATTCTTAATCTCTTCCCAAAGGAACTGACATCGTTTTTAACGGAGCTTGGAGAAAATGAAGCCTAAGGACGCTCTCAAAGCACAGTGGAGGTTGCGGTGAAGGGCAGTTGGGAGAAGCTAGTTTGCAGGAGAGAACCCAGAATAAACCACTGGGAAGGAACCCTTCTGGGGGTCAGAACAAATATCAAACACTGACCTCAGAAACTATTCTTTCAAAAGAGCCACAATTTAATGGGATTAATTTGTGGAACACTTTATGCCCCAGGATATTGTTGAAAACAATAGAGCAATCGGCCACCAATTAAGGGAGCTTAACAGCTGGATGTGGTTAGGGAAGTGCCAGAGAGCCCTAGCAAAACCACTGCCATCCCAGTGCCACTGTGGGCACATCCAAAACTGAACCTCTTCAGGGAACAATATGAGAGGCTTAACACTCTGGGAGGGAAAACACACACTTGACCCTTGGACAACACAGGTTTGAACTGCGTGAGTCGTCCTACACATGAATTTTCTTCCACCACTGCCAACCTTGAGGCAAGACTGACCCCTATTCTTCCCCCTCCTCTGCAGCACACTCCACGTGCAGACGATAGGGATAAAGGTCTTTATGATGATCTACTTCCACCTAATGAATAGTAAATGTGTTTTCCATTCCTTAGGATTTTCTTAATAATATGCTCTTCTCTTTAACTTATGTTATTGTAAGAGTACAGTATATAATACATATAACAGACAACATACATGTTAGTTGACTAGCTATGTTATCAATAAGGCTTCTTCTGGTCAACAGTAGGCTATTAGTAAAGTTTTAGGGCATCAAAAGTGATACACAATTTTTTTTACTGCATAGGCAGTCAATGCCCATGACCCCTACTTTGTTCAAGTATCAACTTTACTTCACAGTTTACTTGTGCTTGGTGGAGGAGTTGGGGGTAGCCAGTGGTCTTCTTAACTTGAGCCTTCTGGCATGGAAACATCACTTCAAGAGCCAGGGCAAAAGTGACCAGGGCCACAGTAAAGTAAACTGTGAAAATAAACAGTCACTAAAAAAAAAAAAAAAAAATTCAATAAGCAAATAACAATAACAAGTCCTGAAGGAGGGGAAGACCAATACCCAGAGTCAGTAGAATATATTATCTAAAACATCCAGTTCCTCACAAAAAATTACAAGGCATGCAAACAAGAAAGTATAATATGATTCATACACCTGAAAAAAAGCAGAGAAAGAAACTACCTTTAAGAATGATAAGACATGGCTGAGTGTGCCTGTAATCTCAGCACTTTGGGGGGTCGAGGTGGGAGGATTGCTTGAGCCCAGGAGATTAAGGCTAGGCATCTGTCATACCACCGTGCTCCAGCCTGAGTGACAAAGTGAGACCCTGTAAAAACAAACAAACAAACAAAAAACCTGTTATAAGCATGTTCACAGAGCTAAAAGAAGGGATGATGACCATGTTGCATTGAATAGAGAATATCGATAGATAGACAGAGTAATCAAATGGAAATTCTGAAATTGAAAAGTGCAATAATTAAAGTGAAATATTCACTAAAGGGGCTCAAAAGTAGGTTTGAACTGGCGGAAGAAAGAATATGTGAACTTGAAGATAGATCAATAGAGACTGTGCAAGCTGAAGAACAGAGAGAAAACAGAATAATGGAAAGTGAAGAGCACTTCAGAAAATGTGAGACGCCATTAAGTGCAGCAACATACATGTAATGGAAGTATCAGAAGGAAAGGAGAGAAAGGAGCAGAAAAATCTTGAAGAGTAAGTGGGAGGATCATTTGAGCTCAGAAGTTTGAGACCAGCCTGGGCAACCTAATGAGACCTTGTCTCTGTTAAAAAAAAAAAAATTAGCTGGGCATGGTGATGTGCACCTGTAGTCCCAGCTACTCAGGAGGCTGAGGTGGAAGGTTTTCTTCAGCCCGGGAGATCTGCACTACAGTAAGCTATGGTTGTGCCACTGCACTCCAGCCTGGGTGAAAGAGTGAGACCCTGTCTCAATTTTATTTTTTTTCTTCTGAGGAATTAGTGTTTGGAAGTTCCCCAAATTTATTGATAGATATTGGTCTGTAGTTTTCTTTTCTTGTAATGCCTTTTTCTGCTTTTGGTACTAGGATAATGCTAGCATCATCAAATGAGTTAGAAAGTATTCCCTCTTCATCTATCTTCTGAAAGAGCTTATAAGGGAATTGGTATAATTTATTCCTGAAGTGTTGGTGGAATTCACCAATGAACCCATCTGGGCCTGGTATTTTCTGTGGTGGAAGGTTATTAATTATTTATTCAATTTCTTTAATAAACATAAGCCTATTCAGATTATCTATTTCTTCTTGTGTGAGTTTTGCTAGATTGCATCCTTCAAAATATTGGTCTATTTCATCTAAGTTATCAAATTTGTGGGCATAGAATTGTTCAGAGTATTCCCAAGTTTATTGAAAAACAATAGCCTACACATCCAGGAAGCTCAACAAACTTCAAGTAGGATAAATAAATGCAAAGAGATACTAAACAGCCACGTCATAATACAAATGCTGAATTAAAGATACAGAGAAAATCTTGAAAGGAGCAAGATAAAAATGACTCTTAAAAAAAAACTATAAGCCAAGAATTCTATATCCAGCAAAGCTTTCTTTTAAAAATGAAGGCAAAATACAAATTTCCCTAGATAAACAAAATGTGAGAGAATTCGCTACTAGCAGACCTACCTTACAAAAAATAGTAAAAGAAATTTTTCAGGCTGAGAAAAAATGTAATCTGAATTCACATGCAACAAACAAACACCACAGGTAACTATGTAATTATAAAAGATAGTTTAAATACAAAATTTTCTCCCTTTTCTTAACTGATTTTAAAAGTTAGTATAAGATAATATGTATATATTTTGGCATCTATATATATAAATATGTAGGATATACATAATATATTTGCCAGTAATGCATAAAAGAGGTGGGAGAAAGCAAAGCTGTATTGAACTGAGAAAGTGAAGATAGATGGTAAAATAATAATTATAAAAATGTATTGTTGAGTTTGTAACATTAATAGATCTAATATGTACAATAATGATTCTGCAACAAAGATGGGGGAAAAGGGACTATAGCTATATAAGCATAATGTTTCTACGTATCTTTGGAATTAAGCTACTAATAATATAAATCAGAAGTTGATTCTGATAAGATGCGTAGGGTAAACTCAGAGCAACCATTAAAAACTAAAAGAATATAGTGAAAAAACATCAGTAAAGAAGATAAAATGCTACATTCGAAGATATTCACTTAATACAAAAGAACAGAAAAAGGAGAATAGAGGAACAAAAAAGATCTGAGACATATAGAACATAAAAAGCAAAATGTCAGACATAAATTTAATTATATCAATAATAACATTAAAATGTGAATGAACAATCCAATCAAAATACAGGAATTGTCAGACTAGAATAAAAAAGACATGACCCAACTATATGCTGTCTTCAGGAGACACACATTAGATTCAAAGATACAAAGAGACTGAACATAAAAGCAAGGAAAAAAGATGTATCATGCAAACAACCACTACATAAAAGCTAGAGTGGCTATACTGATATCAGACAAAATAGACTCTAAAACAAAAACTGTTATTAGAGATAAAGAAGGATATTTTATAATGATAAAAAGTCAACTAATCAGGAAGCTACAACAATTATGAACATAAATCCACTTAATAATGTACTAAAATTCATGGAGGAGAAACAGAAAGAAATGAAGGGAGAAATAGCCAGTTTGACAATATTAATTGTAGACTTGAATATCCCAATTTCAGTAAGGGATAGAACAACTAGACAAACGATCAACAAAGAAATAAAGGACCTAAACAACATTATAGACGAATGATACCTAACAGACATCTGTAGAACACTCCATCCAACAACAGAATCTGCATTCTTCTCAAGTGCACATGGCACGGTTCCATGATAGGTCATGTGCTAGGCCATAAAACAAACAAGTAAATTTAGAAGACAGAAATAATACAAAAGTGTGTTCTGTCACTGCAATGAAATGAAAGTAGAAATCAAAGTGGAGAGGAGAAAGAATTTGGGAAACTCGTAGACAAGTGGAAATGAAACAACACGCTCCCAAATAGCCAGCAGGTCAAAGAAGAAGCCAAAAGGGAAATCTGGAAAGAGTCTGGGATGAATGAAAATCAAGACACAATATACTGGAACTTTCAGTATTCAGCGAAAGCAGTGCTTAGAGGAAACTTTATAGCTGTAATGTCTATATTAAGAAAGAAGGCCGATCACATGGCTCACATCTGTGATCTCAGCACTTTGGGAGGCTGAGGAGGGAGGATTGCTTAAGCCAAGGTTGAGGCTACAGTGAGCTATGATCGTGCCACTGCACTCCGGTCTGGGTGACAGAGCGAGACCCTGTATCCAAAAAAGAAAAGAAAAGGGAAGACAAAGGAAGGCTGGGTGCAGTGGTGTATGCCTCATGCCTATAATTTCATCACTTTGGGAAGCCAAGGTAGGAGGATCGCCTGACACTGGGATTTCAAGATCAGCCTGGGCAGCATAGTGAGACCTTGTTTTTACTAAATAAATAAATAATTTAATGTAAAGAAAAAAGAAGAAAGATTTTAAGCCAATAACCTAAACTTCCATCTTATGACCTTAGAGAAAGAAGAGCTAAACCTAAAAGAAGCAGAAAAAGAAAATAATAAAGATTAGAGGCTGGTCCGATGTTAGTGGGTTATCAGAACTTACTAACATTAGTGTCACTGAAGCTGGCATATAACCCCCCACTGCTAAATCTGACTGGCTTTACAATTTTGTAGATTAATGGCTGCCTAGAGGTGGGGACTGGGAGTGCTGGAGGTCATGGTTAAAGAGTATCAAGTTCTTTTTGAGGTGACTATGATGTTCTGAAATTGACTGTGATGATATATGCATCTGTTTACAGATACACATATCTGTGAACATACTTAAGTCCCCTGAATTGTACACTTGAAATGAGTGAGTTGTGCCATACGTGGGCATTGGAGGACATCCACAGTTTGGATCCCCTCCAAATCTCATGTTGAAATGTGATCTCCAACATTGCAGGTGGGGCCTGGTGGGAGGTGACTGGATCATGGGGTGGACCCCTTACAAATGGCTTAGTGGCATCCCCTTCTTGATGAGTGAGTTCTCACTTAGTGCACCTGAGATTTGGTTGGCTGAAAGAGTCTGGGTTCCCTTGTTCTCTCTCTCTCTTTTTTTCTTTGAGACGAAGTCTCGCTCTGTAGCCCAGGCTGGAGTGCAGTGGCACGATCTTGGCTCACCGCAACCTCCACCTCCTGGGTTTAAGTGATTTTCTTGCCTCAACCTCCAGAGCAGCTGGGATTACAGGTGTGCACCACTGCACCCGGCTAATTTTTTATATTTTTAGTAGAGATGAGATGGGGTTTCACCATGTTGGCCAGGCTGGTCTTGAACTCCTAACCTCAGGTAATCCGCCCACCTCGGCCTCCCAAAGTGCTAGGATTACAGGCGTGAGTCACCATGCCTGGCCTCCTTCTTCTCCTTCTGTCTTGCTCCCACTTTTGCCTGCTTCCCCTTGGCCTTCCGTCATGATTGGAAGCTTCCTGAACCCCTCACCAGAAGCAGACGCTGGTGCCATGCTTCTTGTGCAGCCTGCAGAACCATGAGCCAAACAAACCTCTTATAAGTTTCCCAGCCTCAGGTATTCCTTTACAGCAACACAGGAAGGGAACTATGTCTTCACTGATGTACTATATCTTACCTATTTTTCAATTAAGTTGTTAGAAAAGTGAACAACAAACTACCCAGAGAGAAAACACAGCTCCGCGCCAGAACTCCAGCCGTTTAAGGCACCTTCTCACAATAGGGCTGTTACTGGACACGGGTCCTGATCCGGACCCCAAGAGAGGGTTCTTGGATCTCTCGCAAGAAAGAATTTGGGGCGAGTCCATAGGGTAAAGTGAACAAGTTTATTAAGAAAGTAAAGGAATAAAACAGTGGCTACTCCATAGGCAGAGCAGCCCCGAGGGCTGCTGGTTGCCCATTTTTATGGTTATTTCTTGATTATATGCTAAACAAGGGGTGGATTATTCATGCCTCCCTCTTTTAGACGGTACAGGGTAACTTCTGGATGTTGCCATGGCATTTGTAAATTGTTATGGCGCTGCTGGGAGTGTAGCAGTGAGGACTACCAGAGTCACTCTCATCACCATCTTGATTTTGGTGGGTTTTGGCCGACTTCTTTAACCCAGAGCACACTCTTGAAACTGCTTCTGCCTTCTAAAGCAGTAACTTCCCAACCCAATTCATTACAAACTTGTGAGACCACCTTGGAGAATCCTACAACTAAAAAGCCATGTTCTGCAAAAGGACAGTCCTGAGTTGTGCCTAATTTCATGTGGGATTTTGTTGTTTTCATGACACCAGTGCAATAAAAGGGCCCATCTCTTAATAATGTAAAAATCAGTGATGGTAATGTTCATAGCAGGGTTTCATGCTAGATAGCAATGAAATCCCCAGCACATCTGCAACTCCCTGCTTTTCTGTCCCTGGAATCTCCAGTGTTTATTTTATATGAAGGAGGAACCAACACGGAACTTCTTGAACCCGTTATGTGGTTGAAATTGGGCCTTCTCTTCTATTAGGTAGTGTGTGTCTATATCACGTTCTTGTTCCTATGCCAGAAAAGCTTGACACGTCTTATTTTCATGGCATTACCTTGTTGTTTGAACTCGGAATTTCTTTGCCCGGAAACTCAAGTGTAAGGAAATAGCAGGAAAATGTTCCAACTTTTGGTGGTGAAGCCTTCAGGTGAAAGAAATGGAGAAAAGCAAGGTGGAAGAGTACAGACAGTGGGTCCTAGGAAGGAAGCCCTTTTCTGTTTTTAGCAGAAATGTTGCTGTGCCATGTGGTGAAAGAGGAGGCCTCCGTGAGGCCCAGGGTGTGACACCTGGCAGGGAGCCCTGGTTCTTTTCTTCTCTCAAAACTCCCAACTTTTACAAATTAGTGTCTGGGCTTACAAGGCCATGGCCTTTGAGTTTCAAGAGTCTATTCAGAACTGAAAATCCAAGAATTTGATTTTTTGGTCTCTGTCTTTGGGTCTGTTCACCCAGCCATGAGTGACCAAGGGGAGGGAGGGCCACACAGCAGCTTCTGTGTGAGGATATAATTCTCTATTTCAGAAAGTTGTACCAGCATCCTGGGCTATGAATACTGGACAGTTACGGACATGTGAAAATTCTAATGGTGGTCACCTTTTCTGACCCAGAAATGACACTGTTCTCTTCCTTATGGTGTGAGCACACTGAAAAGTCCAATTTACAGTTTGTCACTGTATTAGTCCATTCTCAAGCTGCTAGAAAGAACTGCCCAAGACTGAGCAATTTATAAAGGAAAGAGGTTCAACTGACTCTCAGTTCTGCAGGGCTGGGGAAGCCTCAGGAAACTTACAATCATGATGGAAGGGGAAACAAACACGTTTTTCTTCACATGGTGGCAGGAAGGAGAAGTGCTGAGCAGAGGGGGAAACATCCCGTATAAAATCATCTGATCTTGTGAGAACTCACGCATTACCATGAGAACAGCAGCGTGGCGGTAACTGCCCGTGTGGCTCAGTTGCTTCCACCTGGTCCCACCCCTGACACGTGGGATTATTGTAATTCAAGGTGAGATTTGGGTGGGGAGACAGCCAAGCCATACCAATCACATATCAACTTCTGAGGAAGAACGGGAGGAAGAGGAGGCACAGGATGATGATGAGACATATTTTTGGTCCAATTTGGAGATATAACAAGTGTATCTAGTGAAGAAGAGGAGGAGGAGAGGGAGATGGAAGCAGGGAAAAGAAGGAGGAGGAGGAGAGAGATGATGGTCACTGGTGTGGGGGGAGGTGCCATATCCCTTGTGAGGAATGACACCAGGGCCTTGCTGATGGCAGGGAACATGGGACCCTGGCCATGAACACTTCCCTGGAGGAGCTGGGCATGTGTGCTACATGGAGGGTGAGGTTGGGTGGCTTCAATCCCAGGGAGACACAACCTCAGCCTGCATTTATACACTCACACTTCTCGGGCTTCTCAGAGGAGCCACCTCTACTCACCAACATCCTCATGCCCTAAAAGGCTCAGCTAGACCTTTCCAGGGTCCAGGTGAACACCCAGCATTGATGGCAGGACTGGCAGCGTGGGTCAGGGGGTGCAACAGTGAGCAGTGCCTCCTGCACCCCCCCATCTGGAAATGTGAGGGGACACGTTCAGTCATCACACTGTGGGCTACAGTTGAGAAGCGTCCCATGAATCAGTGCTGAGGGCAGACGGTGGTAGTGCGCACGTGCACAAGCTCCTTCCTACGCAGAGTGCCATTTGGAAAACTTCCTCTGTGGAAAGAAATGCGGAGAGCGTGGATGGAGCCCGCGGCATATGGACATCATGTACCCCAGCTTCCCAGTGTTCCCGGTTGTGGGATGAAACCAGCAGTGCCCGACTCACAAGCAGAAGGCGGAGGTCAAAAGGGGCTGCAAATGGTCTCACACTTTGAAAGGTGGCGAGCACTCACTTCGAATCCTGAGTGAAATGGATGTCCTGCAATTCGGTAAAATGACCAAGTGACTTCTGCAGGGGGACACGAGGGGGTGACGAGTGGTGCTCCTCCTGCCTCCGGACCCGGGCTGCCTCCCCTTCTTGTGAGCGTGGCTGAGGTGAGTGACTTGTAATTCCTCTGTGCCTCAGTTTCCTCTCCCGTGTGTTATGAAAGTATTTCCTCCTACAAGGTGAGACTCCCTAGGAAGTTACTGCTTCCCTATTGCACCCCCCAGAAATGGAACTCACCACTTTATTACCACTCAGGAAGCTGGTACAGCCTAGAGATAAGAGTGTGTGTTGGGGGGAGGGGAGCAGGGCCTTCGTTTCCTCATCTATGAAAGGGGATGGCTAATAGCCCTTCTCTCACCAGTGAGCTGGGAACCAGTGAGCTGAAACATGAAAAGTGGCTCCAAGATATTACCTGATGCTCTGGGGCCTCGAGGAAATCCAAAGCCACAGGCTGTAGCAGGCAGCAGAGATTTCATTCTAGATTTCTAGGAGACAAGAGAATGTGGTTAAGTCACATGCCACGAGACAGTCTCCTCATTAGCTGTGTCTGTCCTCTCCTTGACATTTCCCTTAAGCTGCCATCCGTGGGAACCTGCCCTCCACCATGTTTGCCTGTCTTGAATATTACTGTTACTATTATGGAAATTTTACTTTGGGATAATAGTGGAAAGTCTTAGCAACAGCATTTTAATAGGAGGCAGGGCTTGTTTAAAAGCAATCTAGCAGCACTTTTATTATTATTATTATTATTATTATTATTATTATTATTTTCACTCTGCAACCTCCATCTCCTGGGTTCAAGCGATTCTCCTGCCTCAGCCTCCCGAGTAGCTGGGACTACAGGTGCCGCCACCAGTTTTGTATTTTGAGTAGAGACGTGGTGCTGCCATGTTGGCCCAGTTGGCCTCAAACTCCTGAGCTCAAGTGATCCGCCTGCCTCAGCCTCCCAAAGTGCTGGGATTACAGGCATGAGCCACCGCGCCCGGCCAGGCAGCACTTAGGAACACACGAAACCCGCCTGCAGCAATTCTGGCCACCTGCTCACGGGCCGTGGGGGTTATGTCCCCCTCAACTGTGTGCTTCATTGCAGTACAGTCTGGAGGAGAGGGGGACGCCATGTGAGAGGTGCCTGAGGCAGAGCAGTCTGCGGTACTTACAGGCAACAAGCTGGGTATACTGCCAGCAAGGAAGGTGGTCTCATAGCAGTTCCAAGTGAAAAGGTAGAAAACAAATGTGGTCTACAGCCTGCCACTGTAAGTGAGGGTGGGGGCCAGCAGCACAGGCAGAAATGCAGATTCTGCCTCCATCTCCTGAATCTGAATCTGTGAACAGGATGCCCAGGTGGGCAAGCTGAAGATGGGGAAGTGCCGTCTGCGGCACACAAAGCAGTGGCATTCTGCCTACGGCCACACATCAGTACGTTAAGTGTTTGCCTTTGTGGGAATGGTAGTGGGAGAGAACAGGGGACAATGTTAATGAAGTTAAAACTCAGGCAAGAGCACACAGAGGCAGCACATGTTTTCGCACGGTGAGCAAGGTTCCTGCAGGCACCTTCTACAAGAAGGATTGCTGAAGATATGGACAAGTTCACCAACAGCCCTTGTCTCCTCCTCCTTCCCAGGTCTCGAGCCCCAAAGGGAACCTGTGATCCAAGAACAAGCCTGGGTCCAGGGTACCAGCCCTTTCAGCTGCAGCCGGGCTTGCTGTTCCTGCCTTGAATAAGAGTCCTTCACTGTGCGTTTGCTGCAGCTACTCATTAAGGCAAAGCACTTGCACATGAAGTCCTGTGGAAAACAGGGAGGGGCATTTCAGACATAACATTTGCTAGATGCAAACATAAGAAGAGAAGACTTTGTCATCAAACACTGATTCCCAGTCAAAGCAAAATTCCAGAGATTGTGAAGGGCAAAATAGATTAGTATTAAGTTGAAAATAATTTTGGGTTCTGTATCTCAGGACTCTGCCATTTGCTTACAGTATGTCTGTTGCCTTATATAGTTACTTCAAAGCACTCGATGGTGAGTTAAGAAGGAACAATTAGTAACAGAAGCATGGTTTTAAAAAAACGTCTTGGGGAGTGAGGGTGGAGGTGGGGAGATGGGATAATCCCAGGCCACTTCAGTAGTTCCCAGAATATCCACATGAACTCCTCATTTATGGAGCTGAAAATGTCCATTGCAAGATGCTGGCTTTTTGGCATCCTTTTCTTTTCTCTCTCTTTTATTTTCTTTTCTTTTTTTTGAACTCTCCAGCTCAGAGTCAGGAAAACGCTGGCATGATAATATGCTACCATTGGCAGTTGTCCTTCCAAGATGGTTTATGCAGGAAACATCACTAAAGCAACTCTGCAAACCCGAGGCCTACATCTGCCCTGCCACCCTTCAGCTGTGGGGCCAGTAATAAAATGCCGTGACAGCGATGGGCGAGACAGGGTCATTGTAAACAGGAGAGAAGCAGCAACCTTTTAGGAAGGAAACAGACAGTTGAGGCATTGAGTAGCATTGAGCCTGGGCAAAGGCACTCAGATCGCTGTTGGCAGCAGAGAGGAGGTGGCTGGGGGCTACTGCCCACTGACGAGGAGAAAACCTTTTCTGGAAACTCATGAGGTCCTCAGTGTCACTGAGTATTACTATTACTGCTCTACAGATAGATTACAAATGACTGGTGGTTTATATAACCCAAGAGCACTAATTTCTCCAAACTCATTGCTTGGGTGTAGTAAAAAGTCTCCAAAATATCCAAATGTGTACATATATATTTGTGATTATCTTATCCTGTTCATGCTGCTATAACTAAATACCTTAGACCGGGTAATTTATAAATATTAGGAATTGATTTTTTGATTCTGGAGGCTGGGAAGTCCAAGATCAAAGCACTAGAAATCCAGTGTCTGGTAAGGGCTGCTCTTGGCTTCCAAGATGGTGCCTCTAGTGCATCCTCACACCATGGGAGGGCGAAAGGGCATGGAGGGCGAAAGGGCATGGATGCTGCTGTGTCCTCATATGGTGGGAGAGAGAGAAGGGCAAAGAGGAACTAGGGCTCTCCAAGTTTTTTGTAAGATCATTAATCCATTCTTCAGAGTGGGGCCCTCATGACTTAATTACTTTCCCAAAAGTTCCACTTCTTAATACTATCACACTGGGTATTAAGTTCCAACATGAATTTTTGAGACATGAACATTTAAACCACAGCAGTGATCCTTGGAATTCTGTACTTGTTACCGTTAATCTATAAAATGCACATGGCATCTCTCCTGTTTATCTTGTGGTGTTTCTAGAAGGATCAAAAGAAGTAAAAGGGGCGTGCAGATACAAAGTCTACCACGAGAAACAAGCATAAGTTATTTGTGCCAATAAAAGACACATTTGATGCTGTAGTGATTCCTCTCACCCGAAACCCTTAGAGGGCAGGCCACCTTCCTCCTGATGGATTCATTCCCAGCTGTTCTAATGCTCCTCCCTCTCTCTTCTGTCCAGAACCTTCGATTACCCTGCACAAGTACAGTGAACCCTTCTAGGAGACAGGGGTTTCCAAATGCTAGCCCCAGAGCCTCTGCACTGAAGGCAACGTTTTCATGGTCCTTGGCAAAACATTAAAAAGCTCAGCATTACTGATCGTTAGAGAAATGCAAATCAAAACCACAACGAGATACCATCTAACAACAGTCAGAATGGCTATGATTAAAAGGTCAAAAAATAACAGAAGAAGGCAAGGTTGTGGAGAAAAAGGAACACTTATACTCTGTTGTTGGGGTGTAAATTAGTTCAGCCATTGTGGAAGACACTGTGGTGATTACTCAAAGACCCAGAGACAGAAATACCATTTGACCCAGCAATCCCATTACTGAAGGAATATAAATCATTCCATTATAAAGATACATGCATGTGTCATGTTCTTTGAGCACTAGTCACAATAGAAAAGACATGGAATCAACCGAATGCCCATCAATGATAGAGTAGATGAAGAAAATGTGGTACCTATACACCCTGGAATACTATGCAGCCATAAAAAAGAATGAGATCATGTCCTTTGCAGGAACTCAGATGGAGCTGGAGGCCATTATTCTTAGCAAACTAACACAGGAACTGAAAACCAAATACTGCACGTTCTCACTTATAAGTGGGAGCTAAATGATGAGAACACATGGACACATAGAGGAGAACAACACACACTAGGCCTTTTCAAAGGGTGGAGGGTGAGAGGAGGGAGAGGATCAGGAACAATAACTAATAGGTACTAGGCTTAATACCTGAGTGATGAAATAATCTGTACAACAAACCCCCAAGACACGTGTTTACCTATGTAACAAACCTGTACCCCTGAACTTAAAGTAAAAGTTAAAAATAAAATAAAATAAAAATAAAGGCAATGATGTGCATTTTCCCCACCAAGCCAAACGTACTCAATTGAAAAAATTGTCATTGATTCTGAGATTGTTTTTCTTTTTTTTGTGTTAAAATATCATTTTAACATGATTTGGTGTGAAAATGATAGGGCCTACAGATGCTGGGTTTCTTTCTTTCTTTTTTTTTTTTCTTAATGTGTTTACTTGGAAAAATTACAAGCTGGTCACCTTATATAGGTCCCCCAGTTCTTTTATTTTAAAATTTTGATTGGCCTGTGAAATTTCACAGCCTGGAAATCACTGCTGAATGTTCCATGGCTTACTTTCCTAAGGCCTGAGGCATGTCTTCAGGAAACAATGACAAACACACACTAGAAGCTTTATCCAAGAGCCTGATGAAGAAGAACATGGGCTGGGTGTCTCTGACTTAGGAATGCGCCTCTCCAGAACTTCGGCAAGGGCATCTGTAGCTGGCGCCAGCAAGAGCGACAGAGCTCCATGGGCAGCCACTCCACCAAAGCTTGGGGGGCGCCTGCTGTGTCCTGCTGCTCTGGGGCACAGTCTTTCCCTGAATCCTTAGTTAAAACTAACAGAAGATAACTTTTGAATGGCCACTAGGGGTGATTCGAGCCACACTTTGTTCAACAGGTGTAGTGCCCATTAATGAGGGCTTGGTGGGAGGGCTCAAGGCACCTATGGTAATTTATAGAGTTGTTTCTGAGGAAAAATGCATTCTGAGTACGAGGTCGCTAAATTAAAATTAAAGTCTTAAAGTGTTTCATACATTCTTGGATGGGCTGGAACCCATCCAAGAGGTTCAGCTGAATCCAGTAACAACAATTACACTTCCACAGTGGGTCTTGTGCATTACAGTCCTGGTGATCCCCATGGAAGAGGGTTGAAAGAGCTGGGTTCTAGAACTTCCAGGTCCTTTGTGTAGCCACCAGCCTCATGTGGCCATCAAGCACTTGAAATGTGGCTGGTCCAAGTGGTGATGGGCCCTGAGTGTAAAATACACACTGGCTTTCAAATATGTACAAAAAAAGAAAAAAGAATGTAAAATATTGATTACATTTTGAAATATTTAGGGTATATTGTGTTTATAAATATGGTATTAATTTCACTTATTTTTATTTTTAAGATGTGGCTAGAAAATGTTAAGTTAAATATGTGACTTACATCTGTGGCTTGCATTGTTTCTACTGGACAGCACTCCGTGAGACCACATATAGGAAAACTATAGCCCCCAGGCGAAATCTAGCTGATCTGGGCATATTGTAAATAAAGTTTTATCAGAACACAGCACACCAGTTTGCTTACATTTTGTCTCTGGCTGCTTTTGAACTACAACAGCAGAGCTGAGGAGTTGTCACAGAGACTGTATGGCCCACAAAGCCTAAAATATCCACCATCTGACTTTTTATTGAAAAAGTTTGTCCACATTTGGTCTAGACTATCA